TTTATTATGCACAGTAGTTTTCCATCATAATCGTCTACCACAACTTGTTCAGCCATTCCCCAATTGATGGGCATTGCTTTGATTTCCAATATTTTGTCACCACAAAAAGAGCTGCTATAAACAATTTTGTACATATAGGTCCTTTTCCTTTTCCTTTCCCTTTGATTTCTTTGGGGTACAGACCTAGTAGTGGTATCACTAGGTTAAAGGGTATGCATAATTAATTTCATACTTTTGGGGCATAGTTCCAAATTGCTCTTATTTTTAAAAAGATTTATTGCATATTCAAAACTTGTTACAACTCTATAGTTAAGATAAAACCCTAGGTGGACAAGAGACTATGAAGAAAAATCACTGAATTGAGAGTTAAGAGAACTGCATTCTAGTTCCAACATTATCACTAATTAGTGATTAGTAATGTTAATTGTAATGTTAATGTTAGTAATGTTAAACTAATAACTAATCTAAACTATGATAAGACATAAATTCCTTTGACCCTAGTTTCCTCATTTGCATGAGGTTAGACTTGGTGACGTTTGAGGGTTTTTCTGGCTATTAACAGTCTCAGACTCAGAGAGCTCAGGTTCAAATCCTGATTCTGCCCCTTATCAAGTGCACGACTTTGGGCAAGCTACTTAAATTTGGTGAGGCTCTGTTTCTTCATCAGTAAAGTGAAGGGGTGAACTAGATGTCCTCTAAGGTCCATTATAGCTATTAACTCCTTGGTGTGTAAACTCCCTGTCTCGGTGCTGCTTCCAATCTAGCCATGTATCAGGTGGTGGTAGTAGTGGTATAGTCATGGACTCCATATTCTCTTTGGAACTCTATCCCCCAGAAGGCTGTGAATGAATTCATAGTATTTGGAACCTCTGAGTGTCAGGGACTTTTAAAGAGTTCCGGGAGGAAGCTTATGGACAAGACACTGGGTTTGTCTGCACAGGAAACCCCTGTACAATTTTGAAAACAGTCTTCTCAGGATGGGAGCTGAATAATCACTGAAACCTTGGATTATGGCTCTTGCTCTCATCAAGGTCCCAGTGAATGCCAGAGCTCAGGATGCACTGGCAATTTTCTGCTTGTGTCCTACTCTTTCCATGCTTCTCCAACATCTCTTATTTTGTGAAATGTGTGCTAAAGCCAATTGTTAGATTTTAATTTAACAATTGACAGTAATTAACACCTCTGAAATCAGTGAAATGATACATATCAGGGCTTGATTTGTTGTTTTGTTGATTGTCTAGACTTGAGAAAGTGATGAAGAAAATGTTAAAAAAAAACATATTAAACTTAAAAGTCTGTCTCTCTACACTTTTTTTTCCTGGAGAGCTAAGTGTTAAATTTTTACCTGCATACCACTAGATGCCCCCCAGAACATTTTGCAACCTCCGTACTATTTAACAGGCAAATTACAAGCAGTATGTTGTAGTTAAGTAGAGAACTGGCTTCAGAGTTAAGACCTGGGTTTCAAATCCTACGTTTGACACGTATAACCTGTGTGACTCTGGGCAAGTCATTTAACTGCTCAACGTCCAAGAGAAGTTTCTAAGACTTTAAACTGGAAATTAGTTACTGATCTTCATTGGTAGAAGGAGTTTTTTTTACTTGGGAATTTCTTATAGTGAAGAAATCACAGATCTGTGATGCTTTCTTTCAGGATAAATATCTTTTTCCAGTGCCAGACATCATTCAAGGCCCAGAGTATAGAGAAAAAAATGAAATAGTCCTTGCCTTCAAAGAGCTTACATTCTCCCATGCTCAAAAGGTTTTTCATTCTATGAAATGAGACAGCTTTCCAAGGGATGTCATTCCAAAGAGAATTTGGCTTCCCTGGCAAGACACACCCCCTTTCACATGTCTGGTACACGATTCTGTTCTGTGCCTTTCTACTAATATTCCATAGAAAATATACCCAACTGGTTGGAGACTTTCCCTTGAGTCTTTTACTATTTTGAACATACTTGCTATCACTCAGTCTCATACGTGATTCCCATACTTCCTTTCTTCTCATGCATTTCCTTAATTATTTCTTTTATTTCAGTTTAAAAAAAATTCATTAGTGATAACAGAGATAACACGGTAATAGAAAATTGACAGCCAAGAGAACAAAAATAAATGGTTGTAATCTAGCTTTTGGCAAAGTAAAGGCTATTCAGATTCATAACTAGATTGCAGAACAATACAATTGAAAGAGAACTAGATTGGAGTTAAAGAGGCTGGCTTCAAATCCCAGTTCTGTAGCTTAATTCCTGATCTCAGTAACCACTTCTGTGTGATTTCTTGCCCCTGTCATAAAATGGGAGGGGTGGGCTAGATAATCCCTAAAATAAACTTTCCAGTCAGGTCAAAATCAACACCAGTCACAGATCCTTCACGTAGATAAGGCAAAAAAATGCTTACTAGAAACAAAAAAGATCATTAAAATAAGTGCTTCATTCAGAAGTGCCAAATGTGCAGCTGGTGCTATATTCTTGAGTTCAGCCTGAAATAGTTTGAAATGTAATTGAGAAATAGTTAACAAAATAAATAAAAATGCAACAAAACATAGATAATGTTGATTTGTGTTTTTTTTTTAAAGTTAATTTGAGCATCCCCCAGGGATCTTTATGTACAGTTTAGCCTCTATTTCTTTTTGAGTTCAACTGCTAACTTGGTGCTAGCATTTATACTAGGTACCAGGTATTTAAAAGAAAAAAAAAAAGGCAAACATAGTCTCCGCCCTCAAAGAGCATCATGTTTGAAGGGGAGAGACAGTATACAAACAACTGTTTTTGTACAAGAATATAAACAGGGTAAATTGGAGGAAAGTTGGGGATGAGTAAAAGGCTAGAAAGATCTCCTCTAGTTCTGGCTGGCTTTGAGCTGAGTTTTGAAGAAAGCCTGAAAAGGTAGGCGGCAGTGTTGAGGAGAAAGAGCCAGTGAAAATGTGGAAATATAGAGTTGGGAGGTAGTTTCATTTGAGGAATAGCAAGAAGGTCAGAATTTCCCAAAGGTCTCATGATGAAAGATGCTATCCACGTCTAGAGAAAGAACTGATGGAGTCTGAATGCAGATTGAAGCATACTATTTTTAAACTTTATTTTTCTTGGGGTTTTATTTTTGGTCTACGTTTTCTTTCACAACATGACTAATATAGAAATATCTTTCGCATAATTGCACGTGTATAATCTATATCATATTGCTTGCCTTCTCAGTGAGGGGGGTGGAGAGGAAGGGAGAGATTTGGAATGCAAAATTTTAGAAAAGGACTATTGCTAATATGACAGGAAAGGAAAATGATAAATGTTGGAGAAGATGTGGGAAAATTGGGACACTAATGCATTGCTGGTGGAGTTGTGAACTGATCCAACCATGCCAGAGAATAGTCTGAAACTATGCCCAAAGGGCAATGAAACTGTGCATATCCTTTGATCCAGCAGTACCACCACTAGTTCTGTATCCCAAAGAGGTCATAAAAAGGGGGAAAGACCTACATGTGCAAAAATATTTATATCAGTTCTTTTTATGGTGGTAAAGAAGTAGAAATTGAGGAAAGGCCCATCAACTGGGGAATGGCCAAACAAGTTGTGGTATATGAATGTAATGGATTCCTATTGTGCTATAAGAAATAATGAGCAGGCAGTTTTCAGAAAAATCTGGAAAGACTTACATGAACTGATGCTGAATGAAGCGAGCAGAACCAGAACATTGTACACAGTAACAGCAACATCGTGTGATGATCAACTGTGATAAACTTAGCTCTTCTCAGCAGTACAATGATACAAAACAATTCCAAAAGACTCATGATAGAAAATGTTATCTATCCACACACAGAGGAAGAACTATAGAATCTGAATGCAGATCAAAGTATATTATTTTCATTTTTTTTGTTTTCATAGTTTGTCCCTTTTGTTCTATTCCCTCTTTCACAACATGACTAATGTGGAAACATGTTTAACATGATTGCACATGTATAACCTATATCAGATTGCTTGCCATCTTGGGGGGAAGGGAGAAAAATTTGGAACTCAAAATCTTATAAAAATGGATGTTGAAAACTATCTTTATATGTAATTGGAAAATACTATTTATAAAAAATAATATTAAAAAATGCTTCTAGATGTAATTTGAAAAAATAAAATATTTACAAAAAATTTTAAAAAGAAGGCCAGTGTTGCTGGCCAGTAAAAAATAAGAAAACTAGAAAGATAAGAAAGGTCCAGAATGTAAAGGTCTTAAAAGCTAAACAGAGGAGGTTCTATTTTATTCAGTTTGTCATAAAGAGCCACTGGCATTTATTTTGTAGGGGAGTGGCATGTTCAGACTTGTAGTTTAGGGAGATCGTTGATATCTGAATGAAGGATGAACTGGAGTGTGGCAGGAAGAATGAGGCTGTTGCAATGGTCCAAGTGTGACAGGATAAGGACTGGCATGAGGGTGATGGCAGTGTCCAAGTTAAAAAGGAGACATATATATGAGAGATGTTGGGAAGGAAAATATGACAAGATTTTATAATTTATTACATGTGTGGGATATGGCAAGTGAAGAATCAAGGCTCAAACCTGGGTGACTTAGGGAATGGGGGTGTCCTCAAAAGTAACAGGGAAGTTCAGAAGAGGGGAGATTTTGAAAGGAAAGGTAATGAATTGTACATTTTGTATATAAATTCAAAAAACTATTTTCAGAATCTTGGGCTAAGTTCATTTTAAAATGAACAACGTTATTTATAGTTTTCACTTAGAGAATTTTGTTATGTAAAAATACACTACTATAAAAAATATAAAAATATGTCACCCCCCATTATAATATTATAAATCAGTTTCTCCAGGGTAATAGTAAGACAAGGTCAGGCCCACAATTGCGCAAATTTGGCTGAATGAGGCAGCAATGTGTGGTCATTATGCATTCCATAAAAAGTCATTGTCTTTATTTGGTTCTGTGCTTAAGACATACTGTCAGTCACCAATGCTTCTTGTTCTTCAATGCTATAGTATTTTCTTGACCTTGCTTTGTGTATGTTTCAGGTCTTTGGAAGAATCTTGGTGGTTTACACAAAGAAGAAAATGATCTCTTTGGCTCCTTGCCCCTATCTAGAGTTACTCTAGGAAATTTTTCTGATACATTTGTGACATATCTAGGAAAACAACTGTTTGCCTCAGTTTCCTCATCTGTAAAATGAACTAGAGAAGGAAACAGCAAACCGTTCTAGTATCTTTGCTCAAGAAAACCCCAAATGGGACCATGAAGAGTCATTCACGACTGAAACGACTAAACAACAACAAAACATATTTAGCATCTAAATTTCCCTAAATATAGATAGCAAGGGCCCTTGGCTCCTGTACAGACACTCAAGGTAAAATACTGACTTGGGGCAGCCTTCATTTTACCCGTTAGAAAATGTAGATGATGCAAAGCACTCATAGGAGTCCATAAACAGTAGACAAATAAATAAAACATTTAAATAACCCATTAGCTCCACCCTGTCTCCAGAAGAGAGAGGAACTGGGGATTTCTTTGAGGGCAATGCTTTGACATTCCCGTAAGTCCCTTGTTCCCACAGTATCCTTCATAGTCTTCCTAAGACTCATAATATCACCTTGTGGTTTAGATTTTCCCTAGAAGGTAAACACAATTGTGGGTTGCTGAACAAGCAATCTCTTTCCCATTGGGTCTGAACTACCCAAGTAATTCATTGGCTTTATTCTCCAAGAAAGCATCACACAGGAACTATAAGAATGAACCTCCTTTTTCTCCAAGGAGCATGCTGCATCAGGAAATATCTCTACAAAGACTCTTAATTTGTGGTTCATGAATTCTTTTTTTAATACTTGGACAACAATTTCAATATAATTGGTTTCCTTTTTAATTCCACACATTATATTTTATGCATTTGAAAACATTCTTCTGAAAAGAGGCCCACAAGTTTCACCAGACTGGCAAAGAGTCCACGACAAAGGGTATGCTGGGATTAGTTCAAATTGGCTCTCAGGTCTGATTGTTAAACTTTCAGTATGAGCATTTACACCTTGGAATGCGAAGAAAGGGGCTTGATTCATTATTTTGTTGTTTTAGATTTAAAGTAATTGAGAAAATGCTAATAATTCAGATTAAACCTAAAAGTGTATCATGTGTTTTTTTTTTATTTCCCAGAAAGTCTGTTAAGGCCTTTACTAGCACACCACTGTCCATGATAAACTTTTTTAAAAAAGTTAAAAACCCCTGATCTAGAAGGTTTGAAATTAGAAACTCTAGAACTCGGTATTTCTGCAGAGGTGCTCCCCAGAAAATCTTCCTTCCCTGACTAGAAGTATAGATTTCAGGATCACTTTACCTAGTCAGGCAAAATCCCCCCCACCCCAATCCTTCCACACAGGAATTAGGGTTTATGAACATTGTCCATAAACACTTGGGCCAACTACCAGCACATAACCACCTCTTTCATGTATTTTCTGTAAGTCTTTATCTACTGTACCTGGGAGGGGAGAAGAAACTACAAATGGGTATGGGTTCCCCGAATGCAGGTCTGCTCTGCTGCGTGCTGATTTGTTTAGAAAGCTGGTCTCACAGCTTACTTTCATAGACCACAGAAGGTCCTTTTTCTGTTAAGAGTCCACCCCTAAGAATGGCTGAACAAAGGTATACAATTGTGATGGAATACTATTGTGCTATGAGAAATGGCAAACAGGATGATTTCAGAAAAACCTTGAAAGACTTACATGAACTGATGCAAAATGAAGTGAGTAGAAACAAGAGGTCATCATACATAGTAATAGCAATGTTATACAATGACCAACTGTGAATGACTTAGCTGTTCTTAGCAATACAAAGATTCAAGACAATTCTGAAGGAAAAAATGCTATCCACCTCCAGAAAACGAACTAATGGAGTCTGAATGTAGATTGAAGCAGACTTTTTTACTTTATCTTTCTTGGGTTTTCTGGTCTGCATTTTCTTTTGCAACATGGCTAATATGGAAATGTTTTGCATGACTTCATATGTATAATTTATAGCACATTGTTTGCCTTCTCAAGGAGGGAAGAAAGGAAAGAAAAAAGGGAGAGAATTTGGAACTCAAAATTTTAAAAACATAAACATTAAATTTTTTTAACATGCTATTGAGAAAATTGTTATTAAAAAATGCACTTCTTATTCTAAACCAGTTAATCATTTTGGAATTCTCCATGTTGTATTGACAAAGTACTGGTGGTCATACCTATAGTTCCATGGAGAAGTGGCTCTCCAGAGCCTCCAAACAAAGGCTCACACTCTGTAATCTCATCTGTTTGATTAGGAAACTCATAAAATCAACTAGGAAACTCTTTAATCTAACTCTTAACTCTTTAAATATGGATAAAGAAATGGAAAAGCTGTGATGTGGCTAAGGTCACGGAGGTAGAAGAGAAGAGAGGCAACATCTAAACTCACATTTTCTGGTTAAGAATTTAGTGTTCTTTCTGCTAGACAACACTGCTCTATAGTATAAAAACTTCCCCCATTCTCAATGCCCTAACCATAAGGAAACAATTTTCCTTTTTCTGCTTTTTATTTCTCTCTCTTCTAATCATAAACTGATTGGCTATTTCTGGTTTAGAGACTCGTGGGGTGCAACTTTTAAAATAATAATAGCTGACATTTAGTGTTTTAAAGTTTATATTTGCTGCTCACAAACACGTGTTAGATATTATTATCCTCATTTTACAAATGAAGATAGTGAGATTGAGAGAGCTTAAGTAACTTGCCTAAAATCCTGAGGCAGGATTCAAACCCAAGTCTCACCTGACTTCAGATCCAAGGCTCCTTCCACTATACTGTGTGGCTCTACAGACAATATTCACGTGTAAAAAGTTTATTCTCAAGATTCAGGAATATCAAGGGATAGCTTAATGTCTTGATGATGTATGGACATATTGATAAGTTACTCATGCTCTAGTTAAAAGGATGGTGATACGAGAGTTTGTGAAAGCACTTAGATAAGACATCTGAGAGTTAGAACAAATCAAAACTTCCAGTATATGATCCAATTTCTTTAGTACTGTAATAAAATATGCAACTTAAGCAAAGCACAAAGTAGCCTCTAAGATTAGTCTCCATTTGGCCTATCATATGCTATTTGTTGTCATTCAGTCATTTCACTTGTGTCCAACTCTTTGTGACCCCATTTGGGGTTTTCTTGGCAAAGCTGCTAGAGTGGTTTCCCATTTCCTTCTCCAATTTACTTTAGAGATGAAGAAACTGAGGCAAACAGGAGTAAGTGATTTGCCTAGGGTCATACAGCTAGTCAATGTCTGAGGCCAGATCTGAACTCAGGAAGATGAATCTTTCTGTCTTTGGACCAGGCACTCTATCCATTGCATCACCTAGATGCCCTTATCTGATAATATAGGGTAAAGAAAATAATTCTGATTTTTGATATTCCAGTCAAATAGTTTGTTTTTATGGATGTAAATCAAAAAGAAAACTAAATTAATGGAGTTATCTCCACAATGGAAACTTTAAAAGATATCTTTTAATAAGTGACTAAAGCCTTCCAAGGAACAGTTCTCAATTTTGTAGTTATCACTGGTGAATAATACTTTCTACTTTGCTACTATGGATCACTCTGCCCCCTTCTCTCCTTCCCCTTCATTTCTCTGATATTAAAAAATCAAAAATCTTTTTCTTGTTTGTTAGCTTCTATATCCACAAAACACAGATAATGATATTTCTCTTTTCTTTATATATGGAGCATATATTTATGTAAAGCACTTAGCACAGTGTCTGGCATACAGTAGGCATTTAATCAATGCTTCCTTCTTCCTTTACCTCCCCAAGGAATTGTAATAGACATTGGGGATGCATGCTTACTAGTGAGGACAAAAACACCTTTCATGTCCTGAACCAGGCAGTGAATGGGTGGGAGCGAAAAACGGGTGATGGTTTTTAGGAGCCAGAGGTTGAGGCTGCCCCAGGACCCCTCCACAAGCGAACTATAAGGAGACAATGCTGAGACTCTAATATAGACTCTAGCTGCATTGAGCAGAAACCACATGGAATAGACACTGGGTAGTTGGATTCAACTCTGTTGCTGAACACAGAATTGGTGATTCCCTACTTTCCTGTCCCTTGCATTAATCTCACTCTTGCATTCTCCCAAGAAACAACTGAGGCTATGCTCCAATCCTTGTTTCTTTAACAGTTTATTTTGCTTTCTCTTTTACTATTCATTTTGAAATATACCAGTTTCTCTAAGGTAATGTATTCACTCATTGCATTACTGATTTATGTATGTCCTTAGGAAAATTCATTCAAGAGCTAAGCAATGGGTGGTGAGAATGCACATGGTGAAGGATAGATTTTATCATTGCTGGGAGGCATTCCCTGGAAAAATTGGGGGCTCTTAGCAAAGAAAAAAAGAGAGAGAGAGATTTTATTGATTCACACTTTTTCTATTCTTCAATGACTTCAAGTCATCAGGCTCAGATGAACTATATCATTAGATACTGAAAGAAGTGGCAGATACAATTGTAGAGTGATCATTGGTAGATACTGAAGAACAAGAGCTGTGCCAAAGACCTGCAAAATGGTAAATGTCCCAGTTTTCAACAAAGGGAATAGCATAATTTCTGTAAATTATATAGGAAAATTGATTTCTTCTTTTGGGGGCTTTTACTTATATTATCTGTTTAGTAATCCCTTTCCCCTCCTAGAGGGGCAATCTCATAGGACAAATAATATATTTTTAGAGAGGAAAAATAAGTCATCATAACCTATTGATAAATCAAAAAAATACAAAAATATATGCAATGTGCAACACCTATTGACCTCCCACCTCCATAACTACTGAATATTCCTTCAGCTCATTAAGTTGTTTTTTTTTTAAGAAACACTTTATAATTAAGTCTAAGTCTTTTGTGTACTGTGGGAAGTCGATGATCAGCTATTTTGTGCACTTTGTAGTTATTTGGAATGGAATTTCCCTTTCTATTATAGTTTCTTGTGTTTTGTTATTATTATATAGAAATGCTATTGATTTTTGAGGATTCATTTTGTAGCTTACAACTTTGCTGAAGTTATTGTCTTAATTAGTCCTTTCTGATTCCCTAGAGTTTCTCAAGTAAACCATCATATCATCAGCAGGTTTATTTCCTCTTTACCTATTTTTATTCCTTCAATTTCTATCTCTTTTCTTACTGTGATT